GTCTAAAGGGAAAAGGTGCGTTTTTTATGGGTTCTTCCAGTGTTTTCAATATTTTCTTGTTGAAAGCCTTTTATTATGATGAGGATTCCAATAAAGGAGACCGAAAGAAGAGTATGGAAGTGTTATAGGGAAAGAATCCGATGTAGGTGCGGGGTAATGTTGAAGTCGGCAGCTTTGGAACTAATTTCCAAAAACTCACTAGTTTTTTCTTCTCTCAATTCGTGAACATCGTCTGAAGCTCCGGACTGATCACTATGAAAAATTATGATAAATTTCGTTGGTAATTTTCTATGGTTACCTCAAGAATTTAGAGGCAAAGAAGAAAATGAGTCAAAAGTTAGATCATTCCCGTAACCAGTACAGGACTCAAATTGAACAAGGCAAATAGTCAGTAAATTCAATGCCGTCGTTGTTTTGAAGCGCGACTGGATCATATCAGTAACAGACGTCTTTCAATTACTCATATTTATTCAATAACCTGCTCTTCGTTCATAGAAGCTTTGCGATGATGTTGTTGGGATGTTTCAGTGATATTGAGGATTATTCTAAGCAACAGGATGGACTCGATACCATGGCCCTTGGCTCCATAACGCCTCTCAATGAGGATTTCACGTTCCATCTGTCTCTGTATGGACCTGTACTACGCCTTCACACGAGCGATCAGGCCTGCCTTTTGTCGATACCTCGCCTTCAGAATGAAAGGAAATGGTTAGAGTGGGGTTCCTGGTCACTGCAATCTCCTCGTATGATTCTACAGTACACACAATTGCCGTAAAAGGCGCGAGTGCGTTGAACCTTTGGTAGATGCCTTTTGCTTTTCACCAGTGGACCTTTCGAGAGCTACGCTTTCGTGCGAGCTATAGTCCCTATATCGTGCATTCGTAAAATGTGGCTTCAACTTCATTTACTTGTTTTCAAAAAATCATTGCAATGTTTTGTTAGGTAAACATTCATTATGTCGATGAGAAGGGTCGCGTCATGGATCAGGAAGAAGCCTACCGAGAACTTTCATTCAAGTGAGTTCTTTTGGTATCATTTTTCCGTGAAGTTCGTTTTATAAGCTGTCCTCCTAGGTTCCATAGTCGTAATCCTGGGAAGAAGCAAACTGAAAAAGTGATTTCAAGAAGGGACAAGAAGGAATTGTTGAAGCAGGTTTGTTTCTAAAAACCATTGCTGCTGTGTTATAAAAATGTCTGAGCATCTTTCAGCACGTCACTCATTAAGGATTGGTAAGCGCTGAAGGATCCTTGTTTTACGGACAGCTGCGCAGTTCAGCTTGGTTGTAGAGCTGATTGATAATGTTATCTCAGTCCCATCTATGACGTTACCTATTATTCCTGTAAGTCATTCACTTTAGTCCACAACGGCGGACGCCGGCATTCATGTTGTTCTGATTGCTGTTATGTGGCACATAGTGCGTTGTCCTAATATGCATCTCAACTGCCTTCAACACTCACATAATTGGCTCGCAATACGCTGCAAAATTGTAGGAAC